AATTTTAAGCCTTAAGGCATTCTTGGGGTAAATCTTTTCTTAATTTTAATCCTGTTGTAAAATCTGAACTTTACATAAGTCTTAATTGCATGAAGTACTAGTGATGTGGAAGCAGTGCTTTTTGAAATAAAAATCAGTAGCATTAGCAACTGTCTCGGATGCACCACACACACATAAGGCAGGATTCAGCTTATGACATTTGACAGATATGTGAATACCGTATATACTCGAGTATAAGCCGAGTTTTTCAGCCCATTTTTGGGGCTGAAAAATGCCCCCCTCGGCTTATACTCGAGTCAGCGGCGGCGGCGGCGGCGGGGGNGGCGGCAGGGGTGGGGCGGCGGCCAGGGAGGAACAGCCAAAATGCCCCCTCGGCTTATGCGCGGGTCACCAATTTTTCCCAGTTCTCTGTGGGAAAATCGGTCCCTCGGCTTATACTCGGGTCGACTTATACTCGAGTATATACGGTAATTTGTGAAACAAGTTATTTGTACTTCTTATGTCTGATATCAGTAGAACTTAAAACTCAGTCCTATAAATCCAGATTTATAGTGCAAAATGTGCATGTATTCAATATGCATAGGTACATTGTGCATTTTATGATATTATCTTCCAAATTCTGAATATCCTTTGCTTTTAATTTTAGAAACTGGAAAGTGAGAAGCATAACAGCATTTTAATAACAATGCAGGGTGTACTGCCTTGTGTTCCATCTGTTTTTATTTTGAAAACATTTTGCATTTATATATGTTAAATAGGAAATAACTTTGAATTTAGGAAGGAAGAAGAGATGACAATGCATTCTTATTGTAATTTTTTCCTCAAAGCTAAGATTTATTGTGTTTCATGGAGTTTACTATACATTGGAGTTGGGTGGCAAATAAATTTGAATGAATGAATGAGTGAATCAATCCATAGTAAGTTTGCATAGAATCGTGGCTGCTTTCTGATGTAATGAAGATGCTTGGGCTAAAAAGCAAAGTTGAAATATGAAATTATTTGAAAAGTTGGCTCTCTTTCAGGAAACACTCAGGCAGGTTTAGTTGCAGGGATACTGCCGAAGCAAAAGGAATAAGCCCCGTGACAGAATGTCTGCCTGGCTCATAAATCTGCAGACAAATTTAAGTTTTAACCCGAAGCTACATTTATAAGTATGTCAGTAAAATTAAAATCAAAGCTTTCTTGCCTGGCCTGCAGGAAAGGAAATGCATCATGAAAAGAGAATGTTTCTTAGTACTCACCAATTCTTCTAATTTCTCGAAACCTTCCAAGTTAGCACATTAGCCACAAAAATTCCAGAGTGGAATGTGTTGAACTCACACATGATTAATGTGGCACTCTTTAAGGAAGGATGCAAAGATCAAGTTTAGGGAGATGATAGTTATTTATGAAGAAGAAACCTTTTAGGTATTTCCAATGGTATTATTTAAAAAGTCAGCATTATTCTATTACCTGTACTGAACTTGATTTGACATTTCAAGATTGCCAGATCATTGAAAATAAAGGAATTTTAGATGTTGCAATTTTTACCAATATGATTATTATCAGTGCTTTTTTTGTAAAAAAAAAAAAAAAAAAAGATGCCGGAACTCACACATGTCATACAACCCGCCTTGCCTACCCTACAAGGTTCCATCCAAAAAAGGTGCCGGAACTCCATTCTGGGCGTTCTATGACAAAAAAAGCCCTGGTTATTATTATTTTAAAGAGACAAAGCAGAACAGAAGAAAACAAAACTCATAATTTTTGTTGCAACAAAATAGCATGAAGATCATGTTTTAAATGAATATTTTCATACATTCCTAATGTATCTGTTACAATCACTGTATATTTGTATTTCATAGATTAACTTCTGTACCACAGGAAAATACATGATTTTTTTTTCAATACTTAGCAGAGGACATTTTTATCAACAAAAAATAGTTTACTAATAAGACTGACATTGTTTTTTCAGCATTAGTTCCTAATTTCATTTCAGTTCTGGATTTTTAACAATTAAGAGTAATCATTCCTTCCCTTAAATGTAACTAATACTTTTCAATGCACACTTTCTATTTCAAAACGGTACAGCAGCCTAATCGCAATTCTTTATCTATTACTGCAGACAGATCTGTTAACATTATAAAACCACTCACATTCCAGATATTTTATTTAAAAAAATGAAATGTGTATCAGATAAAAGCTAGTATTTTTCAGTAGGTAATATACTTAATATGTCGAGATGTCTTTTTAAATGCTCATTTTACTTTAATCAGAACATAGCTGAGATTCAGAAGGTAAAGTCACTAATTCTCGACATAAATAATTCTGGTACTGTACTAAGCTCAAAGGTCAAGCACAAGATTAAACCAAGAACAGAAATGCTGTGTTGGATCCAGACCATGTAAGTGAGCAAGAGCCCTTTCAGATATTTAAGCACAATTTATCCACCTTTCTTTTTTGCTATTGGCTCATTCCCATTCCTAACAGAATATGGGGCTCTTTCATGTGACATAGTGTCTACGTTCAAACAGGGTGATTGAGCCAGTGTGATTGTCCAAGTAGAAATACTCTTTATATATCAGTAGGTATACATGGCAGCACATGACTTGGTGAAATGGGGATCAGTCATCTAATTATCTCCCATCAATTGCAAAGGTTGCTTAAAGGTTATCACTTTTTGCTGCTTTTTTCCCAGTATGTAGAAGGAAAAAAGCAGCAAAAAGTGACAACCTTTAAGCAACCTTTGCAATACTACAGTAGTAAGGGACTGTCAGAATAACTTTGGAAAATAGGTTGAAGAGGAACCTCAGGCTAGACAATAGTTGGACAAATGATAGCTCACAGAAAGAATGGGGTTACAGAAATCATCTCAGAAGGGACTCTACCTAGGCAAGGGAGGAAGGAAATGCTTTCAGACTTGCAGGATTCCATTATTGTATCCTTACAAAAAAGATAGTGGTAATCAGTGCTTTTTTTCTCAAAAAAAAAAAAAAAGGTGCTGGAACTCACACACATCATACAACCTGCCTTGCCTACCCTACAAGGTTTCATCCAAAAAAGGTGCCGGAACTCCATTCTGGGCGTTCTATGAGGAAAAAAACACCTGGTGCTAATACTCATAGATTTGACTTGTTGTCTGGACTACCACAAAGAGCAGATTATAGTTAGCCTCTGATAAACAGAGATTATCCACCATATTATCTTTACAAGAAATTGTAGTTTTTACTTTATTTACTAAAGGAAAAGGAAAAGTTCAGTAACAAAATGCTGGGCACGGACAGAAATAACAAACAATAAATGGCTTGAACTATTAAACTATTAAGAATTACAAAACTTTTTTGAAGTCAAAGCAATTGACTGGATATTTTCTTTATACTAAACATTCTTGCCAAATTTCTAGTTCAAAGAGGTGTTTTAGCCATTTTCTTTTTTAAAGAAAATTAAGGTAAAACACAAACTCAAAAAAAAATTGTTAACAGGTTTTTTGAGAACACAGTATTTCTAGACAATCTCTGTACACATTTTAAGAATGGTCCACCCAAAACACCAATTAAGTGGGTAAAAATATCCAATTTGTAATCTACAGTTAGTCCACAACCCATGAGCACAACTGAACCCAAAATTTCCATTGCTAAGCAAGACAATTGTTAAATAGTTTTACCCCATTTTACAAATGTTCTTGCCACAGTTATGTGAATCACTGCAGTTCTTAAGTTAGTAACACAATTGTGAATTTAAATTGTGAATTTAGTTTCTCCGTTGACTTTGCTTCTCAGGTCGCATAAGGTGATCACATGACCTTGGAACACTGCAAACATAATAAGTATATGCCAGTTGCCAAGTTTCTGAATTTTGATTACATGACCATGAGGATACTTCAACAGTCATAAGGGTGAAAAACCTTTTTTTTTTTTTGCCATTGTAACTTTGGTCACTAAATGGTTGTAAGTTGAGGAGTATCTGTACAGAGAAATAATTGTTTAAGATTCAAGTCATTTTGGTAATCAAATTGTTTATAATTAAAATGCACAACTGTTTTGCAGCTATGGAAATGGCAGTGTTGCTTTTTTAAAATTTAGTGTGTGCACAAACCTTAGTGCAGGGGTGTCAAACTGCCGGCCTGCAGACCACCCCATTGCCAGCAATGGCAAAACCGTCCCAATACGTTGTACGACATCATGTGACATTGTGAGTTTGACATGTCTGCATTAGTGTATGTGGTGAATGATGCAAAAATGTATTGGAATAAACAGGAATACAGTTCTGTTTTTTTGTAGTGAGACTGAGGAGAATAAAAAGAAAAACTGTTGGCCATACCCAAGAATTTTAACAAAGAAAGCAAGAAAATGGCATGTTTTGTATTGTCAGCAGGTTGAAAACTCCAAATGGTATAGAAATCCTTATATCCACTGGTTACTGAATTATTATTCAAAATCAGTCTTTCTCTTGACTCTCTCTCTAAATTTGATACCAGGACAAAATAGCTTTATTTTTAAACAGGAATGCTTGAGTTCCTTTCCAATGAGGTACAAATGCAAGAGTGAATGTCAGATTTAAGGCCATGCAGTCATTCAATGAATCAGTTCAATTCACTTGTTGGTATGCCAATGCCAGCACAATTGTCTTCCATATGTGTATGGGCATATGACCTGGAAGGCTATTGAAGTAGCTTCCTAAATGTATTTTTCCTACCACTGAGCACATCATCCCATAAAAAAGGCTGGCAAGTGAAGTTCAATAGATGTTTTCTCTGTTGGGCAAAGCTCATTTTTCATACTACCTAAGTCTCCTGATGTAGGAAGGATGCAAGATGAATTATTGCCAGATTATTGTATGAATCAAATAATTGATTATGTAGCTCAGTACATTGGCTATGCATTATTAGAGAGTGAATCTTACATGTACTTTGTTGCTATCAATACTATCAACCTATAATTGTTCATACCAGTTGTTTTATTACATCATAAAAAACAAATATATAGTTATTGGATTTTTTTTATTTAAAATGCATGAAATTGACAAGTCAATCTTTGGACTGCAAAAAATGTATTTTACAAAGTATTTACAAAACATTTTTAGAATTTCTCACTTGAAATGTGTTTCTTTTTTTTAAGAAAAAGTATAAAGGTTAAAATATCTATTTACATTATCTACAGATATATTCTAATTTGGTAACAAATCATAGGAAAATATTTTGATGCTTGAAAGAATGGTAAAGATATCACAAAACCATCTTAAAAATATAAAGCATATTAAAATTCATTAAATAATTACAATGTCAAATAAATAGGTTTTATTCAAATTTCATTTTTTCTTGCATTATTGTTTTTTTGTTGTTGAGCAATTTGTTCATATAGTTATATTATGGGGAAAAATAATCCCAGGCAAATGACATCTTTTTTAAAAAAACAAATGTCTTAATTTCACCCTGATAAAATCTAATTAAAACATTTATTTTAAACAAGATGTCTGCTGCCAATAAAATATGTGATCTGGAAAGTGCCCCTGAAAAATTCAGAATAGCTGCTGTCTGCAGTATAAAATGTTTGACTTCCCATGGCAACAAATATTCATTTTATTTATTTAGATATGTGTATATAAACCAATAAACTGAAGGCTTATAGGCCAGCTTTAAAATATGAAGGGTCACATCTTAAAAAATCCTTCAGAAAATAATGCCCTTCTGAGTTTGGTCAAAACCACAAATGTATATATACCCAAATGTATATATACCACAACATAAGACGGGTTGTGTTAGTTCTGGGTCTTCAAACTTGGCCCTTTTATGATTTGTGGACTTCAACTCCCAGAATTTCTCAGCTGGGCACGCTGGCTGAGGAATTCTGGAAGTTGAAGTCCACAAGTCATAAAAGGGCCAAGTTTGAAGACCCCTGTGTTAGTTAGTGACATCTGTAAAACAGAGAGTCATTAATAAGGATTGTGTGTGTGTGTGTATGTATGTATGTATGTGTATATATACATATGTATATGTATATATATCCATGTGCATGCACACACATATACACACATGCACATATACACATCCCACATATACATTAAGTTCTAACTTGGAGACTGCTTCGTAGATTTACTGTTCTTTTTTCTTTCTTTATGATGTTGGTTTGGCTTGGCTTGAGTTGCTCCTTCAAAGTTATGACTTGATTCATTGTGTTGTCTTGTGTATCGTTTACACTTACAAGCTGTAACCACAGTTACTTTGTAGGTTCTTGTGGTTCCATCTTGACATTGCAGTTGAATCCTCTGGGTGCGAGTTTTGTCATTGACACATCTCCATTCCTGTGAGCTTCTTCTGCTCCAATACTTGGATCCATACCCTCCCCCAATCCAATTAGGTAGCACTGGCAAAGGAAGGCATTCCCCAGCACATACTAACTCTTTCAAAGGGTTTATGCTAGTACATTGACCATCTGAAATATATTTTGTTGATCTCAGTTCCCGACAGCCAACTTGAACTCGACCTGTCAAAAACAAAACAAACCCTTTCTTAAAGTTTTGTATCAGAGATAGCAACAGACATATCATCCATGTTTATTGAAGGTCATTCATATGGTATAACAGTTGCCTCCTCTCTAGATTACTGTATAGATGTCAGAAGATCCATATCAATTTCACTTCCAATGTCTTTATGCTGTTTCCTTCTTAATCATTCTTATTGCATGATACTTCAGTTACAAAAGAATTTAGAGCAAAATCTATGATTTCTCACATCACATATCACACTGCACACACATTGGACAGCTATACTATACCTTCAGCATCATTTTTCTAGAGTAAGGAATTCAAACTGGGAGTAAAATATAAGTCACCCAGTTCATATTACACTATATTTTGGAAGAATGGCAGGGTGGATAAGGATGCCAATTCTAATCTGTTACCACAATCAATAGACATTTCTGAATGTCATGGATGGATATGCATAATCATGTTTTCCTTATACATGATATGAGTCCATTACATTCTGGTGTCTTCTAGGTATGCATTTACCATATACTTGAAATTTGAAGCCCATTTTATCATTCTGGAGCATATGGTAGGGTTTATTTTAATAACCCAATAAAACTCAGGTTTGGAAAATTGGAGCTCTGCTTGCACCGCAGTCCTAATCTGAATTTCTGAGACTGAAGGGAACCATCCCAGACAAACAATATAGAAATATATGTAGTTTTCTCCCAAGCTAAGGAGATTGCTGTTAGTACTGCCTTAGCTACTGATACTATCAGAAATAACTTTATGCTGTAAGATTCCCTTTCATCTCTCTGCCTTTCATAGAAAATATCCTGGATCTCACTTCCAGCTGGATTTTCTCCAAAATACTGGATTTAAATGTTGTATGATCTTATCCTGCATGTTGGTTTAGTTTAATACATTATATTGAGATGAATCTAATCATAATAACTAAAATCTTGCATGTTATCTATAAAGGAACCTGAGACTACTTTGAGGACAATTCTTATAATTCAATATTCTTCATACATCTTCTTATATAGAGAGCTTTCTTTAGAGTGCAGTGATATAGAATTATACCACTGCTTGCAAGTGTCTCTCTTAAGACTTGAGTGCCCCTGCACAACCTGAGGCAATGTTATTTCATTTTTAAAGGCAACTGACATTGTACCAAGGTGCTGAAATAGCAGCAAATGCAGACATGTTTGTGCTTGCCTCCCTCTGTATATATTCTCATAGAAACAAGACCGGTCCTTATTTTCATAATTATCCCTTTGAAAGGAATGCACACTGTGAATTCCATCACACACCATCTTTCAGTCTTACATATTCTTAAAGTAAATGTTATCATAGAAACAAGAAATCAAAATAATTATTTTATAATAGGAACTTTCTTGATTAGCTGAACTACAACTCTAAATTCCTGGATCTGCTAACATTCTGGGATATTATTATGAATATGTAGCACACTTAAGAGGTCACCAACCTTCAGGACTCCTATGTTTATTTGTGAGAAAAAATAAACCAAATCAAATATGCAAAATTTATTTTTTGAATTTGTTAAAATTGAGTCCTTAGATTCTTCTATCAACATCATACCTTGAGAATCAGCATGTGTATTTTGAGGCTCGTTCAATGTGGAAGTTTTTCAATGTAAAACCTACTGGAATAAAACTTAGGTATGCACTGGATTTACATAAAGTGCCAACCTGACTGATTTAACATTATTTTTTCTCTTAAGCAGAGAGGGGTAGATTATCACTGGATTAAATGAGGCATCAGATACCCTAAGTAGTTTTCAAGAAGATACCAACTTAACTGTTTTCAGAGGATTTCTGCATGCTTAACTCAGCCAGAAGAATTCTGCTCCACCACTGTTCTTTTAAATATATGCCTGCATGATAAGCTTTCCTAGTATTTCTTTCTTTCTTTCTTTCTTTTTTCATTCCTGGGACAGTTTACTAACTGAATAACTACTGAGCTATTTTGGTAATCTTGCACTGACATGATAGTTCCTGTATCTTCCTTCCAGTCACCTTTCTAGAAAAAGTAGTTAAGCCTTTCTGTCACTGAAAAATGAAACTATTTCCTTTAAAGATCAAGATGTTCATAGCGTGTTCCTTTTATATTTTTTAGATGTAGGATGAGGCTCAAGACAGTCAAAAAAAATTCTGGTTGCTTATGCTTCTCTCTCTGAGCAAGAACCAAGCAAGTCTGCTGGGCCTTAGGTTGGAGGGTGAAGAGAAGATATTTTTCAGCTCCCCAAAGTTGGTTGATAGATGGATGGCTATATAAAAGCTTTAAATAAATAAAGTAAATAAATAAATAAAAATAATTTTTAAAGGAAAGTTGGAGCCAAGATGTTTGCACACCTGCTTATGTGCATCTAGATCAGTATTTCTCAGCTTCAGCAAGTTTAGGTTGGGGGATTTTGGGAGTTAAAATTCAAACATCTTAAGCTTGTTGAGAAGCACTCAGTGCTAAATCAGGATTTTTAATTAAAAGGAGGTGGCACTGGAACAAAACCAATGCTCTGTGGCTGAAGGTTAATGTTAGCTTTATGAAGTAGTTAGAGACAAATACTTGTCTCAAAAAGTGCGTGGTTAGCAAAAAGCGCTCAACGTTTCTATTTCCAACATAAAGAAACGGATATATAGCTAGTCTCCAATGCTTAGTTTTGGTAGCCGCAGAGTTAACCTTGAATAAAGCTATTCTTTGTGACACGACTGATCTCTTGGTCTGAATTCAGACTTGGGTCTCACGGGATGAATGAATCAAGGGTAAATGCTTGTACCTATCGCTAAGATGAACCTCAATCTGCCTTACTGGGAAATCAGAAAAGGTGTGCTTATTATTCTTCATTGCAGGGTCTTAGTGGGCATATGTTGAAAGCAGGGATATATATATACTTACTGTTCCGATCGAAACCTGCATGCCTGCCTCCGTGCCTCGCTTGATTCATGGTGTTATTGTGGCTGCTGGCCGGGACGGTTTTGACAACGTGGGAATAAAGTATCTCGGTCGCATCGTTTTTGAATGCCACGCAGCTTTTCAGGAGCGCGCAGGCCAGCAGAAAACTCGGGAGCTGCAAAGCGGCAGCAAGCATAGTCAGAGCAATCGCAGGGCCTCTTGGAACGTAAGTGCTTCTCTGTCTCTGCGGCCACTTCTTCCCCAAGTGCCGCCCAATGCTTGCGGAGTGCCTTTATATCGTCCCAGGGGTTTGGCGCTCATTCAGGTGTGAAGTTCCAGATGACAGCACCGCTCAGGCGAGGGTGGGATCCCCTGGAACAGCAATGGGGTCCGCTTTACCAATGGAAGCCTGCAGGGGTGTAGGAGGAGCAGAAGGAGGAGCGAACAAGTCAGTCGCGACCTCCCGCAGGAACCTTGGCTGGAAGTAAAGCGGCGATGTCTTCTCTTTGCCCTGGGCGGCAGCAATGCCCGCCCGGCTTTGCAGGGGGGGGGGGAATCATCTTGTCTGATTGGAACTCCTCTAACGCCGAGCTGGTTTGCTGCGTCCCTTCCTAATACATTTGCAGGCAAAGAGGATGGAAAGTTACCTGGAAATAGTTAGGCAGTGCTGTACTATAGAATTATATAATTATATAATTATATATATATAATTATATAGTACAATTTACTCCTCTAACTAATTTAAGGAATGCCTTGAGAAAGGTGTTACTAATATAGTTTTGATCAACACATAATTCTGTCAGCAATATTTGTGTTGGAATTGACTTCTTTTAAGATGCAAAATATCTGTGTGCTTCTCCTGCTGAGCATGCCTCCATTCTGCAACTTTGGCAGTCTAAGAACCTTTACTTGAAATCCAGTGTGATATTTAAGGTAGCTGTTGCCTGACTTCATGCCATAACTTCATGAATTACTTTTGCAGATTTGAAGAGTATTGCAATATAGTTCACAAGAGTTTAGTAGTCATAAGCTGTTTAACAAAGGAAGGGGAATTATTTTAATTAGTAAAGTTACAGATATTAAGTATTAATATCAGAATCATTTTCCTTGGTTCCTGTGAATTCACTACAATAGCAATGTAATTTTGTATTTGTGCAATTGCACAAATGAAGTTTCTGCCATATCCCATGTTAAACATACCATATATTGACACAGAATGTGTCTCTATCATGACTACTATATGTCTACACCAATTCTTTATCTCATTTTTTCCATTCAAGATCCAGTATATGTTGGGAATGGCATTTACTATTGACTTTATGGAAAGATTCTTGACTAACATTCTCACAGTAGTTTCGAGGTAACAGTAGTTTCCATTACAGTTGTCATTTCAAATGTCAAAATGGAATATCATCCTTAAAGCAAATGTGCAGACTTGCAGATACCCTAGTCTACTATAACTCAAAGCAGGCTGAGGATACCTACTTGCAGGTAAAACTGTCTGCAGAAAGGCAACCCAAACTAATATTTGAACCAAGCTAATATTTGAAGCTAATATATTTTAATGTATATTCCAAATGCACAATGAGAATAAAGGTCAGAAAACACAGATTGTGGACACAGTTTCCTCTTCCACAAATGTTAATGAGATTCATCAACAAAAATTTTAGACACCAATACATCTAGGGCAGTGGTATCAAACTGCTGGCCCATGGCCCGAATGCATCATGCCAAAATCGCGCCCACCCCATTGCCAGCAATGGGAATAAAGGCACGCTACGTCGTGACACATCACATGACGTTGCGAGTTTGACATCCCTGATCTAGGGTACTAACTCTTTCTAACCAAGTGCTTTCCTGACAACTCCCAAGATATAACTTTTCTATATGTTTGGCAGAGGCTAGTTTATATAATCTCCACAGCAAGTGTCATATATGCACTGTTTCTTCAATGTGGGAACCTGCCAAAGAAGGAAGCTGATTTTTGACATAATTCAGTGGTTGATTATTATGTGTCACTAAATCACTATTGTTTCTTAGCGATCAGATAGGAAAGTTTTCTCTATGCTGATTAGTCCTCAGTCTGATCCATTAGGTCTTCCAACAGTGGAGTCATCACCACTGCATTCAAAGTGTTTTGTTTTTTAATTTTCTCCTTTCTTCTTAGTTTGAAGCAAAAATGCCAGTGCAATTGCTATCAAATTATTCCCCACTCTGGAATGGTCTAATAAAAGATATCAATCAGCCAATCAATCAATTTTTATTATATTCACAGACCAGCAGCTTATAATAGAAATACAGCTGATCCATTCTGTATCAGAACTTTGCATAGGAAATTGGGTTTTAACACTTTCCTCACATATTGGTTATATACAATCAGGGAGACATTCATTTTTATGTGTATCAACAACAAGTGGGAAACAAATATTGTCAGTTGATGTATTTATGGTGCTATATATTAATTTCAATATAGAATATTAATATCAGCTGCTGAGGATCTTGAGGAGATATATCCAAATTGTGCTCATCCTACTGTAGATGATGAAGTTACTGCTGCTTAAACACAATGTTAGACATGATAAACCTTTGATCTAATCCTTCATAACTCTTCTTATGTTCCAAGACATTGATGGCTCAGTCTGGATTAAGACCATAGAACGGGGAAAAGAGTACAGGATCTTACCTTCAAGCAGGATCCTCCACACAGACATATTTGGGAAATGCAGATTGAAACCCTATGTATCTGGAAGGCACATTTAAGAAAGGCTACTCTCACACCTGCAGGCACCAGTTTCATTTCATTGGCCTACTTTTGCCTTCAGTATTATATTATATAATATTATATTTACCTTCACTGCACCATTAGTATTTTACTTATCCTACAGTATTTATATTGCTGACAATCAACTACTCATATCAAGTAAGAGAAACCTGTTGCTTGGATGAAAAGGGTTTGAGAGAGAGGGATAACAGGAGCATTGAAAAAGCAGAAGCTAGAAATCTTGTCAGTTAATAAGTAGGGGAAAGTCATACCTACCTGCCTGCCTTATAGCTGGCCACACCCTTTGCTGGAATAGCAAGAATGTTACAGGGTGGAACAGAGATGCATTACCAGTGCTTTTGTGTGGAAAGGCTTGATCAGTATTTGGCTGTCTTGCATCTAGCCACAGCCAGACTATCAGTTCTTTTCTTTAAAACACTTCCAGTTTTACACACAAAAAAAATAAAAAATAAATCAGATGTGATGAAATCTATTTTTGATTCTAAAAGGCACATCACAAAATAAAGCTTTCTTACACTGAAGATAAAGGCACTGCCTTTCCAGAAGGAGATGTGTTTCAATATTTTCTGCACATTCAGTAATAGTCAACATCAATGGTTCATAGAAGTGAATGTTCTCTGTGTAATAAATAATACAACTCTAGATTGTAGATTTCTTAATGCTTTGGTCTTGTCTCCAGAGTGCAACTGAAAATTGTCTATTGTTTGTTTTTTCTTTCAGAAACAGAGAAGTATTCATGCACAATTTGATGAATCGTTCCAGTTCCTTCCCCTTCTTTCATCACTTGTATGTTTAGTTACCTGTTTAGGATCTAGGTATCTAAATATCAGTGTTGGAACGCAGCACAGTGCAGCTTCAGCATTGTTCCTTTCCCGCACATCCAAGGACAAAACTAATCATCAAATCTGCTGAAGGATCATAGTAATTTATATGGATGCTCCTTGTTCTGGCAAGTGAATGAGATGATAGTGATATATTCAGGTTCTACTATTGTTTTGGCAGGTCTGTATAGGAAGAAGTGAGAGAGGAAAACAATTTTCCTTGGCAGGACTCCTGCTTCTTACAATTGCTTCAGCTTTTCAGCAAGTAAACTGGATTGGTTTTAAGCCTCTATTCTTGATGTTTTCATTGATTTTTAATGTGTTTTTAATAACTAGAATGCTTTTATTTGTTACAATAGCCAAGCACAATTTTTGGTTTTACTGTTATTCACAGTTCATTAACTATCATGACAGCTGTTGATGAATATCAAGATATAAATTTTATATCCCACAATGGAATGCTAATATATGCCTCCCCCATTTATTGACATGTTTTCTTATAATTCTTTGTGCCAGAATAATCAGAATAGTAAGGGATTACACTTTAGTGCAAAATCTTGTTCACAGATTATTGAGGTTATGAATGCAGGTGTTCTATTAAGCTAACAATGCAACCTTATATATGTTTACTTAGAAATAAATCCCACCAAATCTAACTGACTCCAATGGCGCTTACTTCTGTATGGCAATAGAATTGCTATTTAACTGATTTTGCTGTAGCATTCCAGATAGATGAGAGCATAACATCCTGTACAGAAGTGGACTTCTTAACAAAAGGAACTGGAATCATTTTTATGTTTATGAAAGCATATACTTTGGGTTCTACTTATTTTCCAGAACCACGGTAGATTTTTATCTAAAAGTTCAACTAAAATTATACCTTTCAAATGTATAATTTGAAGTACTTTTATTCTGATTAAATAATAATTTAAAACTTACTGAAATTAGAATGACGTTCCTAATTAAAAATTGCCCTATAGACTATATGTGTGCATCAGGCTGATTCAGCAAGCAGCAGCACTTAGATGATCTTGGTTGATTTTAGAAGTTAAGCAAAGTTGGGCATGGTTAGCATTTGCATAGAGGATCAAATGGGAATCCCAGGATTCCAGACTACTGTAGATTGGAAAGTAAAAATAAATACAGGAAGAAAGCATTGGCAAATAACTTCCTTAATACTAACAAGAAAACCATATGGATATGTCCACATAGTCACATGAATTATGCTAAAGTTGATGGTATATCAACTCAGAAACAAATAATTTTCAGTGGAATTACTTCCAGCTAAGTGTTTCAATACTACAAAAAAGTATTTATTTTCAAGTAAAGTTTTATAAGATAAATGGGTCATTTTATGTTATTCTCTTAAAGTCAGGGTATTACTCTTTTTTTAAAGCAATCTTCCAATGAAAGAAACTTTAGTTGCAATTCTATGCACACTTACTGAATAAAGTAGGAATTATTTCTAAATAAAGATGCATAGGACTAATTTCTTAGTGGAAGAATTACATGGTTTATGTTCATTCATTGTGGATACAAAAAAATAAAATTGTTCCAGAGCAAAAGTTATATACATAGAACAGTTTTTCTATAATACATAATGTTATGGTTCCGATATCATTTTAGGAAATAGCTCTTCTAAAATGTGGGTTTTCATTTGCAGTAATAAGTATCATATTTTTCAGATGATGAAAAAATTCTTCTGTTAAAATGTAATTGTAATATCCATCATATAAAAAAAAATATGAAATTAGGCCTGGAGTAGCTTAG